ATATATCAACTCTTCGCTTGCGCGATGCGAGAAAACCTGTTTAACCGGTACTCTAGAGTACAAATACTGCGTGATATTTGTACTCGTACATGGCGTTATTTGTACTCTACGAAGTGCAGTTGGATAATAAGGATGGATATTAGGTTCGTTCATTCGACCAATATCCAGCCGTCTGGACCACACACTTGGTCAATGACGCACATGTATTGTGCGTTTCCCGGAAAACGCGATAAAATTACCTTTGTTTTTTTTTTTTTTCGTGTAGGTCATGACTGTTCCATTCGTCTGTGGAACCTGGACAGTAAAACCTGCGTCCAAGAAATAACCTCACATCGGAAGAAATTTGATGAAGCGATATACGACGTTGCTTTTCATCCCAATCGACCGTACATTGCTAGCGCGGGCGCGGATGGATTAGCTAAGGTGTTTGTGTGACGTTGAAGTTGTCACGACAACATCTGCGCGATCATGAATTGTAGGAAGCTGGTGTCATAATGGGTTTGGCTAACAGAACTCTGAAGCGCTGCGTGGTGTTACTAAAATTGTTTCCTTTGACACAATGCCGACTCTGAGACGATTGTATGATGAAGTCACGCCAGTTACATCACATGCATCTCTGCTGTAACGCCATGCAAAAGGCCTAAAATAAGGTTGCGAATGTCTTGGAGTAAAATGTAAAAATTTTTAAACGATTCTTCTCCTTATATGACGAACTCAATGCTCGGGAAGCTACAGTTGAGGTGGCTATCTTGTACAAAAGTAAACTGGCGCTTGTCGACCAATTCACCTTCACCATGCTTCAAAACAGGACGGAGCTATCACGGTAACAATGTAGTAACGACATGGTTTGATATATTTTTGTTCTGATATACATTTTCAGAGTGCTTCTCTCTATACAACCGTGGGAAAACGCCGAATTATCGTCGGTTTTTCATTTGGCTTTTCGCTTTGTTTCCTGCTCATTTTATGAATCGAAGTCAATCTCCAGTTATCATTTTCATGGACGTCTTCTCGATATATTTGGATCAAGAGTGCAGGCGAACTCGGAGAGTACCGGTAGTTTGTCACATTTGAGTGAGAACGTTGTATCTTCAATTCAGTGAGAAGGAGCAAACTCGTATTGATTGGTAGACGGATACCCACTAACATCAACCAATTGATGTGCGAACACTCACGAGCAGTTATCGATTGATGGATAACTACTCGGTAGCACTATTGTCTTTTTTAAATTGATATGCGTCTATCTCTTTCTTAGTTGAATTGTATACTTTTGAAAAGCTTAGGTGAAAGTTCTCTACCGCCTGTCGTTTTATCGGAGATGTATGTAGCTCGACTGATTGGTAATATGATTTTAACCTTACACGTGTGGGGTTAGTATCCCTTTGCACCTTTTTAGCTTAGTAGTTTATTTCTTTTTGGTGCAGTTCAAAATCACTAGATCCTCTGAACTGAAAAGAACGATGTTGTGACTCTTGGTTCTGCTACTTGTCATCATTTTCTCTGCTTAGTTCCTTACATTAGGTGACGTTGGTGTCACGCAAGCGCGGGAGTTGAAAGCATCAGCTACAGCATTTTGGGCTTTTGTTCTCTGAGACTACATTGTGCCTGAATTTATTTTCGTCCTAAATAGAAGAGAGCAAAGCCTGCATTACATGTTTGAATCTAAATTGGAAAAAAATACAACCCTTTTCATTTTTTTTACTGCGCAAGTTTTAATTGCAGTGACAGTCTAGACCATCCATAGAATTCTAAAAAGAACACCTAATTTCCTATCTACAATTATTGGAAAACACTTATTGTTGTAGTATTTCAGCGAGTTGTTAGCAAAAAGCTGTGTACTTTTAAACGCGCCAGTCAACTATTTCCAAAATTTGCAGTCTCCGATCTCACTCGATCTTTTCCATTTCTTTTCATTCTTTTTTTCCTTAGGGGCTCTTATTCCTAATGTGTTTTCTGTCATAGGAATAATTTATAATCCGCAAATTAATATTAACTTTTCTCGACTAACAGAATATTTCAGTGTTTCCAAGCTTCTTGTGGTTCGGGAAAGAAGACGATTGGGGTGGAGAGGGAGTTGCTCTTGATAAACATTTCCCTATAGACTTTTCTGTAATGTTTTTTGGTTTTGCCTCTCTTTGTCTTTTCTTGTCTTTTACAATCACTCACAAGACTTCCACGCGATTGTGCTTGCTTTTTAGCCGACACAGTTCGACTCAGAAAACTTTGTATTAGATCGAAGCCTCGGGGCTAGCTTCCCATGTTAGTATACGACTGTATATGTATTAGCTCAAGGATATTTTTTGGGCAAGAAATTGTACAGTAATTTTTGATTTCAATCATTGCTTGTATAGAC